GCCCCGCCCCTCCCCCGCCCCTCACCCGCCCCCGGCTCTGCGCAGGGGAATACTGGATCGACCCCAACCAGGGCTGCGCGCGAGACGCTCTCAGGGTTTTCTGCAACTTCACGGCGGGAGGAGAGACCTGCCTCTACCCCGACAAGAAGTTTGAGACAGTGAGTGCCTCTGGGGGCGTCGGTGGGCGGAGGAACGGGGACCGGATCCGGTTCCATCCTCCCACCACCGGGAAGGGCTGCTCCGCCTCCCGCCCCCACCCAGGCGTCGTCAGGGATCTTAGCCTTCCCTCCACCGACGCTTATGGAGCATCTAGTGTGTGCCACGTGCTGGGGCTGCAACGGAGAACAAAACTCCGCCCCCGCCCCCCCGCCCCCGCTTGTACAGAGCTTGCCTTCTATGAGGAAGACAGGCAAGAAAAGCTAGTAAAGAAATCGCGAATGGCGGCAGACCCGTGTCAGGCCCGTTCCAGTAACTTAGATGCATTCACTCACTGAGCCCAACCACCAGCTGTGCTAGTTCTGTCTTCATCCCCCAGACGGGGAAACCGAGGCACAGAGAGGTGACCAGATTACCCATGACCGTCTGCCCCCAGAGCCCCAGCCCTTAACCACCAGGCTACTGCCTCCTCTGACCTGCTGTATTACAGGCCCCGGTGGGCTCACTGTCCTCCTGGCTGCAGGCTGAGAGGTGAGGTCAGCTGGTCGCCCAGAAGCCTGGGCTCCTCCCTCAGGCAGCCCTGAGCCTAACGGCCTCTCACACCGAGCACCAGGCTTAGAAGAGGGCGAGCAGCACCAGCCCTGGACCACCTGGATTGGAATCCAAGCCTGTCACCTCAGTGTTTTAATCTGTAAAATGGGCATAAGCAAGCACCTACCCCACAGGGTGGTTGTGCAATCGCAGTACCGATGCCTGTATCAGGAAATACTCATTAAACACTGGCTTCGTGCTAATATCTCTACACGCAGCCAGCATAGGACCTGCAAAAGTGCATAGTAATATTCTTCTGATATGTTATTATTTTTAGCTGGTCAGAGTCCTGGGTTAGTGGCACTCAGACTTCCTAGGTACAGGGGCTGGAATGCAGGACTTGATCTCTACACAGTTGCTGACATCCCAGGCCTGATCCCACACCAGCTCACCTTCCTCCTGCTCAGACAGAAGCTGGAGAGGGAGTGAGGAAGGTTCTAGGTTTGGGTTCCCCAGACTGGACAAGTCATTTATTGAGGGGATGATCCCAGGAGGCAGCAGGAGGGGACAGGGGGATGCGAGAGGGATGGAGAGAGGCAGCTGGTATTGTTAATATGTCACCAGTGAGCACCCAAGGCAAGGTTCTGCTGAAGACTTCTGGGAAACAGGGTAGAGGCAGCTGGAAGCTGGCCCACCTGGGCAGAGGGGAAGCTGGGGCATTAGCCACCACCTCGTCACCTCTTGTCAGCCATCAGTTGAGGGCTGCCTCAGAGCGCCGGGTCCCCTCCCCTTGGGCCTTGCCCTGTGCACCAGCCAAGCCCACTCCCATGGCCAGACAACAGCCCGTCAGTCCCAGATACTTACAACCTGCAGCCTTCATGGATGGGAGGTAGATGAAGGAAGGACATGGTGGGCGCCTGCTACTTACCCTCCCTCCCTTTCCCAGGTGAAGCTGGCTTCCTGGTCCAGGGAGAAGCCGGGAAGCTGGTACAGCACGTTCCGTCGAGGGAAGAAGGTGAGTTGCCGAAGGCTGAGGGGGCAGATGGTATGAAAAGTGCGGGAACCAGCGTGCGGTGTTGGGAGAGGGGCTTCGAGGGGTGAGAGGAACAGGACAGGCGTGCCTCTGCCTTGTTGGTGCGCTGTAGGCTGGGGAGGGGGGGGGCAGCATCAGATGTGTGGTGGGGGAAGCACGGGGCTTGGTGGAAACCCAGAGTCAGTGCTGGAAGGACCTGAGGCTCCCTGGGGGAACTCACAGCTCAGCTGAGACCGAAAGAGTGAGCTGGGTTAGCAAGTTCTGGGGGACAAGGAAAAGTGTTGCAGGCAAGGGAACAGCATGTGCAAAGGCCCAGAGTCAAGAGAGGGTCTGGTGAATTTAAAGAAGGAAAAGCCACATGTTCTGCTTTAGGGAGTGCAAGGGGGAATGTGGGTAGAGAAGAGGCTGGGAGGTAGGTGGAGGCTCGGCCCATCTCCCCAGAAAGACCCGGGGGCAGTAGGGAGCCATGGGGCATGTTTAAGTGAGGAAGGGGCCCAGATCACATCTCTGTGTTAGAAAAATGCCTCTGGGGCTGCTGGGGCTGGTTGTTTAGACCGGAGCCTGGGAGACCAGGAAGAGACAGATGTGCTGATCCAGGAGAGTGAGGAGGGGGTCCAGGCTGGGGCTGGTGCTATGGGGACAGAGAGGAGGGCATGACTTGGAACAACATCAAAGAGGGCAAGCTAATAGGACCTAGTCCTTGATGAGCTGCAGGGGCGGGAGGAGACAGGCCTGCCCAGGTTCCTGACCGGGGAATAGGATGTCTGATGAGATGCTGAGGTATGTAAGGGAGAAGATCAGGTTTAAGGGGCGAGGGATCTTGGGTTCAGTTTGGGACTCCTTTATGTAATGTACATTTATATGCTAAGCACTGGGAACATAGCAGCAAATTAAACACAGTTCTTGACTTCATGAAGTTGATATTCTCCTGGGAATATAACCAAGGAAACAGACGGTCCAAGGAAACAAATAAAGCTGTGGTATAATGTAAGTCGGTATCTTGGTTTGGATTCCTCTCAGATCTAGGAGGCGATTCCAGAAAATATCAGTCGGGGGATGTGGAAATAAGGCAGGAAAGAGAAGGAAGTCGAAGGCTGCATTATGGAGCTCGTTGTCTCAAGCCAGTGATATGTGCATAATATACTTTATTTAACCCAACATATCCAGAATATTGGCAGAGCAATATGAAGATCATGGAGGCATTTTACATTTTTTAAAATAGAAGTTTTACCTTCACAGGACATTGTACTCTGGAAGCTAAATTTCATCGGAAATGCTCGATCTATACTTACATTTCATAAAACCTGCAGCTGGGAAAGTAGACCCCCCTACTCAGTTTGTTCCAAGCCTAAGCTTTCAGATACCTGGGTGGAGGCTAAGTTAAGAGTTACGAATTTAAGTGAAGAATTTGAATTAAATAATTACATTAAAAATTAAAATTAAACAAATACAGTAAAAAAATAGTTTCTCAGTCTCAGTCACATTTTTCTTTTTGGTTAATCCTCTCAACTGAAGATATTTCTTCCATTGCTTTTCAGAGACAGTGGGAGGGAGAGAGGGAGGGGGAGAAAGAGAGAGAGAAACATCGATGTGAGAGAGACACACGGACTGGGTGCCTTCTGCACAGGCCTCCACCACCTGCTTCTTGACTGGGGGGCAGGGAGCAAACCTGAAACCCGGCTACATGCCCTTGACCAGGAATCCAACCCGAGACCCTTCAGTGCATGGGCCCATGCTCTAACCACTGAGCCACACGGGCCAGGGATCATCGGCCACATTTTATTTATTTTTATTTTTTATTTTTTTAAAAAAATCTTTATTGATTTTAGAGAGGAAGGGAGAGGGAGAGGGAGAGGGAGAGAGAGAGAGAGAGAGAGAGAAATACCAATGATGAGAGAGAACCATTGATTGGCTGCCTCCTGCACACCCCCTACTGGGGATCGAGCCTGAAACCTGGGCATATGCCTTTGGCCGAAACGAACCTGGGACCCTTCAGTCCGAAGGCGGATGCTCTATCCACTGAGCCACGGGCCAGGGCTCACCAGCCACATTTTCAGTGCTCAGTAGCCGCCATGCCCAGGCGGTAAGTGGCCGGATGGCTGGGCGAAGGGGGCGCCCTCACCTGCTGCCCTGTCCCACCCCAGTTCTCCTATGTGGACGCCGACGGGTCCCCGGTGAATGTGGTGCAGTTGACCTTCCTGAAGCTGCTGAGCGCCCGCGCCCGCCAGAGCTTTGCCTACTCCTGCCAGAACGCGGCTGCCTGGCTGGATGAAGCCGCCGGCGACCATGGCCGCTCCCTTCGCTTCCTGGGGACCAACGGACAGGAGCTGTCCTTCAACCAGACGGCAGCAGCCACCGTCACTGTCCCTTATGACGGCTGCCGGGTAAGGGAGAGGGGCAGGGGCTGGCCGGGCAGGGAGGGGAGGCCTCACTCCCCCGCCTCCCCCCAGCCCCCCTGACTCCCCGTCTGTGTCTTCCCCCGCCAGCTCCGGAAGGGACAGACCAAAACCCTCCTGGAGTTCAGCTCTTCCCGAGCGGGCTTTCTGCCCCTGTGGGACGTGGCGGCCACCGATTTCGGCCAGACCAACCAGAAGTTTGGGTTTGAACTGGGGCCTGTCTGCTTCAGCAGCTGAGCGTCTTGGGGGCGGGCGGGGCCACGAGGGAGCCCCAGCTGGGGCACACTTGGTGCTGAGGCTTTGAAGCCACCATATTTATCGTCTCCTGTGCCTGTGGACTCAGAGGGAAGTCTACTCGTCATGGTCAGACAATGTCCCTTCTCCACTCCCCGGGGCTGCGGGCCGGACTCCCCTGGCCCAGGAGTCCAGCCTCCCCACCCCCTCCTTTGCTGGAGTGATGCAGTCTTTCTCCCCTCCCTGCCCATTCCACCCGCAACTCCCACTCCGGATCCCCCACGCAACGAACTTCTAATTCAGAGCTGAGTGCCCCCACACCTGTCTCCCTTCTCAGGCAGTGCCCCAACACCCTTTGGTGCTACCCTTCCCCCTAGTTAAGCACTGGACGTCTCCTGATCCCAGGCTGGGCCCCTTCCCTCATTCCTCTTTTCAGGTGGGTTCAGAGAGAAGGAACTGAAGTCAGACCACAGAGGGAAGTGAGACTTGCCTGGACTGAGCTGTGTATTCCTTTGGCTGCCTCAGCCCAGCTCTGAATACAGGCCCCCTCATATCTCACCAAGCCAGATGGCTGGGGGACCAAGGTGCGGGGTCAATCAGGATCCTAATGGTGCTGCCCTATTTATACCGGGATCTGTATTAAAAGGGAAAATCCCCTCTGTTATATATTTAATCTGCTTCCTCCTCACAGAAGGCTGGGATATGATGAGAGAGGTTCTAGCATGATCCCCTCCCCCACCTCCCCAGGGCATCATTGGCTTCTCAAGTCTGAGAATAAACCACTGAACTGTGTCCCTGTCTGTGTCCTTCATCTGGTGCTGCCCGCATCTTTCTTAGGGTCTGTCTATGGTGTCACCTGAGGTATTGCCATCACCTGTCTTAATCGTGGTGTTTGGTGGAGGTGGTTTGAGGGGGTGGGGGAACCCAATTCTAATGGGATTCACTGGAGGTGGTGGGCCTGTTTATTAACTCAGGAAAAGTTGAAAATAGCTAGATCTCTAAGAGAGTAGATCTTAACTTTTCTCACCACAAAAAAAAATAAAGAATAATTATGTGATGTAATACAGGTGTTAGTGAATCATTTTGCAATATATATATATGCGGATCAACACATTGTCCCCTTAGACTTACATCTTGTATGTTATATATGTCAATTATATCTCAGTAAAGCTGGGAAAAATGTGAACCCATTAGGAAGGCATCAAACTTGAAAAAAGAGCCCTGACCGGTTTGGCTCAGTGGATAGAGCGTCGGCCTGCGGACTCAAGGGTCCCAGGTTCGATTCCGGTCAAGGGCATGTACCTTGGTTGCAGGCACATCCCTAGTGGAGAGTGTGCAGGAGACAGCTGATCGATGTTTCTCTCTCATCGATTTTTCTAACTCTCTATCCCTCTCCCTTCCTCTCTGTAAAAAGTCAATAAAAAATATTTAAAAAAAAAAGAAAAAAGAAATAAAAGAAGAGAGGGAGGGAGGGAAGGAGAGAAGGAAGGAAGGAATGGAGGGAGAAAGGAAGGAAGGAAGGAAAGAAAGAAAGAAAGAAAGAAAGAAAGAAAGAAAGAAAGAAAGAAAGAAAGAAAGATAGATCTCCATGTTAATCTTGATTAGTCCTGGAGACACTGGCTTGGGCTGAGGGGATACATGGAGAGATGACATGGGATGTGGTTTTGATTTGAAATGAAAGGACTAGATGTCAAAGGTCTGGGTAGCAAGTCAGTATGAGTTGGAGGTGAAGAGAAATGAGTTAGGAGTTGAGCCTTGAAGTGAGTTTGGGGCTGGAATTTAGGGGTTGAAAATGGGTTGAGGATGAGTTGAATTGGAGGTTCGTTTGGAGTGAGTTGAATGAGTCTGGGGTTGTGAATTAATGATATCTGTTGAGGTGGAGGATGGACAATGAGTGGATTGAATTCAGGGTTTGGAGTTGGATGTTGGATTAAATTGAATTAGGGTTGCTTTGAGATGTAGGATGAACTGAGTAGAGGTAAGTAGCAGTTGCTATGGGTAGGGGGTGGGAATTGTCAGTTTGGTAAGTCAAGCTGGGATCAGTTAGATGAGAGTTGAGTCTGAGGTGGCTTGAATTGGGGATTAGATGTTGGGTTGAGTTTTTTATTTATTGAGATGTAATTCAATACCATATAATTCACTCATTTGAAGTATACAATTAATGGTTTTTAGTACATTCACAGACTGGTGAAACCATCACCACAATCGATTTTAGAACATTTTCATCACCTCAGAAAGAAATCCTATATCCATTAGCAGCCACTCATTTCCTCCAAACCTCTCAGCAGTAGGCAACCACTAATCTTTCTGTCTCTATGGACTTGCCTATTTTGGACACGTCATGTAAATGGCATCTTACACTATGTGGCCCTTTGTGTCTGGCTTCCTTCATTTAGCATAATTGTTTTAAGGCTCATGCTGTAGTATGCATCAATACTTCATTCCTCTTATTGTTGAACTAGAGGCCCAGTGCACGAATTTGTGCATGGGTGGGGTACCTCGGCCTGGCCGGTGATCGGGGCCAATTGGAATGGACCGGCTCGGGGGGAGGGACCGCGGGAGGTTGGCCGGCCATGGGAGGTTGGCTGTGAGAGTGCACTGACCACCAGGGGCAGCTCCTGCATTGAGCAGTTGACCAGTCATTCATTCACTTAGGCTTTTATATATAGAGACAGTATTTCATTTTGTCTACCCATTCACCAGTTAATGGAGATTGTTGAGTTAGGAGTGATGGAGAGCGTGTGTGTTGAATTGGGTCAGGTGAGGTTGGGTGGGTAGAGGTTGTAGGTTGGGGGGAGTGCTTTCCCCAAACCCGGAGCTTACCCTACTTCTCCTGCCACAGGACCCACTAAGGTCACCTGAGTAATTGTCTTGGATTCCCTTATGCAATAAATGTCATGAAGAATCTTACTGCCTTGAAGAGTGTTGATGTCCCGAGGTTGATTGATGAGTTCACTCATCACACACTTACTCATTTGTTTCATTCTATTGAGTGTTTACTCAGTGCCAGGCACTGTTCCAGATGCTGGGGACAGAAGAGCGATGTGGTTGCTGCCCTCAGAATATTACTTCTGAAGGAGATGATAATTCTATATAAACTAGTAGCCTGGTGCACGAAGTTTGTGGACATTAAAAGGGAATTAATTAGCGGAAATATTTTAATATTTCTATTTGCCCTTTCTCTATAATAGAAGTGTAAGAGATGAAAGGAAATTAGTAAAATGTATATGAAAATAA